GTGGGATACTCTTTATGTACATACGTATCTGTCTGTCTGTCCGTGTACATGTTGTGTGTATGTGTGTAGTAGTTTGTAAGCAGGAATTAAACGCGTCCGAGCGAATAATCCTTTTGTTCGCGAAGCGAAACAATACCCTCTTTCAATGCTAGGATAAACGCGATAATTGCTAAATCCGTGCATTTACTCCTACGATCCCGAGAATAACATAATTACATAATTACGAAATCTAAGCTTCCTCGCTTGATGACGCCAGTGTCTCTATCCTAATTCACATAAGAACAAGATGTAATTTAAACTAGCCAAAGAAATGGACTATTCGCACGAGCGCGATTTCTAATACGAAAACAATCCACGGGGAAGAAATGGTTCTCCATAGAAATTGCAGCGCGTGTAATTTCTATTTTAAACAAATCTCTCACGTGATAGTTTTTATGCATCTGTTATGTCAGTTCTGTTGAAGGCAAATTGTATATTGCTGTCAGTTGGACGTATGCGTGTTTGTGTGTGTGTATGGGTAGCATTGTTAGTTTATAAATAAAGATGGTACAAGTTGTGCGACCAATGTAATTGGTGAAATTGCATCTATAATAAGGAATGTCAATTAGAATTATGTAAAAAAAAAAAATATTGGTTAGTGATAAAAAATATGTAAAAAGGACGGGAGATATGCCATCTTTCTCTCTTTTTCTCTCTGGCAGCATTTGTTGCGTCCCCACGAGTTGCCGTTTCTTCTTGTCATCTTTTCAAACTATTAGAACGCGGACAAATGATGAAATTATTTAAAACACACAATTGCGTTCGACGCATCATATCAAAAAACAAAACAAAATAGAGGCGACTTAAGAGAAACGCGCTTCTATCTCGACGATTTGGAAGCGAAATTATCCGCTCTCGTTAAACACGATGGCAGATATCAATCGATGACACCGATCAAATAGATGTGATGTGTGAACCTTCGCATCGTACCGCGTTACCACCCCCTCAGAGTTCTCATTCGTGAGTAATCAAACGACGTATAACAATAATTGTCAATGTAATAATGTTTAGATAAAGTTGACGACCTCATATAATAATTGTCATTCGAATTCTTGGCGCGAGGACTATTTGGATCCGCACGAATAGTCCGTAAGTCGTGGTGCTTGCTTGTAACCGAAGTATATGTGCAAAACAGAGGAGGTGCGCACCCACGTTTGCGTTTTGTGTAAACAACGCGAGGTCTGGCCCGGTAAATCCGGAGGTAAAAGAAGGAGATCGGGAATGTACCGTCTTGTATCGAACAACGCGAGAGGATTCGTCCTGATTCTCAGTCTCTCGGACTTTCTTTAACCCGCCTTATTCGATACAGACGTTTCCAGCGAACGTTTTCGGGCCTAAGAGCGGGGGAGTCACGCCGAGAGCGCATCACGAGAGATCGGATTTAAGTATTTAAAAGTATTTAGGAAAATAAAATGAAATAAAGTAAAATTTGTACAGGTCGCGCGTGACTTCCTCAGATGACGTGTCAGCTGACGATGGATCGCCCTCGCTCGAGCTATCGTGATTTCGTCAGCGTCGGCGTTCTTTAGCGGCGGAAATCTGCGTTAAAAGTGCTTCGAAGACGCGCCACGCGTTTACAACATTCCGGACGCGTTCGCTTTCTGCGACGCAGTCCTCCGACTCTCAGAGAGTTTCTCCCTCTCCCACGCAATCACAAGCTCCTTTCCTTTCGACTTCTTTCTCCCGTTCTCCTTCCAATTATCTCGGCGTTGTACCTGCTATTACGGCTAATGTAAGCCACGCAGTTTCCGCCGCGCCGGAGGTCTGAGGAGAGCGCGACCTGTTTCAGAGGTGAGAGGGGGATACGCATTGCGACATCAATCATCCTCCCGTAAGGAAATCTACCTGCGTGATACGTAGATAAAGACGCGCACGTGTACGTGTGTACGTAGGTGGATATTGTGTATGTGTGTATATATGTAAGGTTCGTACTAATAGTCGTTACTTGAAACTTGTCTCATGTGAGATACGCAGATCTGAATTTAAAAGTTAGATGTGAGTCTTTCAGCTGAATTACATGATGTGCGTAACGTTGTATCTACAATCGCGCGATTCCACTGAGAAAGCCACATCTGACTCCAATCTCGAATCTGAATGTCTCACAAGTTGAGACAAGTTTCAAGCAGCGATTATCGATGCAGGCCTAAGAGAAGTGAAGCGATCTCAGCGAGAAACCGATGTCGATCGGCGCGGCGTCAGGTACACAGGACGAGACGTACGCGCGTATCATCGAGAGCGTTGCGACGCGAGAGATCCGGAGGAATCCGGGAGAACGGACGCAACATCACGCGAGGCACGTTTGTGAGGCCTCAATAGAACCGGAACGGTGGAACACGGGGGTCAGTTGGTCGCGTCACCGAGTGACGTAAGCGTGCAAAAATGCGTTACCGTCGAGCACGCAAGTTTCTCCGCGGAAACACTGCAAGCAGGAGAGTCCATTACCTGAGAATTTTATCGCGAGAGATACGTATATATGCATGGATCATAAAAATATATAAAAATGAATAGAACGAATGGCGACACAGCAATATCGCGATTATCGCTGGCTGTTTTTCCGCACGTGTTTTCGCAGAAAGAAACGTTCCCGAGACCGACTGCGGAGCGCGATCGAATAACCACCGTGTACCACGGCTTCTCGAGAGATCTCAGATCAGTCCCGCCGTGCGCTGGAAACGCGCACGGCCGCGAACATGCGAGACCATTCGAGAATGACGACGTTGCGCGAGTACGTCTCGTCGTAAGTAAACGGTACGCAAAGGAAGAAAAAAATAGAAAAATAATAGTAAGAGGATATATAAAAAAGAGAACGAATTTTCTTATGTGCAGGACTAACCTTTCCGCGGTGGCGCGAGAACAGTGCTCTTTCTTATTTTTGTCTTTCTTTGTCTCTCTCTTTTTTCTCTCTCTCTTTCTCGCTCGGTCGCTCGCTCGCTTTCTCTCTCTCTCTCTTTCTCTCTCGCTCTCTCTCTCTCTCTCTCTCTCTCTCTTTGCATATCGCACTGTCTCCGTGTGTTCACGAGAGAGCGCCGGCCCTTTGATAAGGGTGTTCGCGGATCTGACCCAGGTGCCTACGCTGCTTGGCAGCGGCCGCTGCGCCTGTCGCCAAAATACAAGCATGAGTAGTGTAAACGAGCAGTCTCTTCTGCGTGCGCGATCCGCGCACGCTGTGCTCGCCGCCGGCTATCTAAAATCTAGAATCCTGACGCTATTATTAATGTAAACAAAAAAGAAAAAAAGAACGACACACCAAGGAGCCCGTTCCATAGAAAAGAAGGAGAGACTGATATCTATGAGAATCACGTGTTTTTCCACGGAGAATTCAGAATTGCAGAAATTCCATAGAACAGATTCCCATAAACATCATATGGTCTATTCTCTTGCGACACTTCTCAGTGTACATTCGTAGAGGCGCATGATATTCTTTCGAGCACCTCCCCTCTCTCTCCTCCTACTTGTCTTCTTTTCTTATGCAACGGGTTCCGGCAATGCCGCCGCGAGTCGTTCGTGACGGCATCGCGGATTAACATGCTGCGATCGCCTGCGGCGCGCAACCGACACCGAAGAGGCCGCAAGAGAGAGAGTTGTTCACTACTTAATCGTCATCTCCGGGGGACGGCTGAGACGAGGCTGAATGCACGAAGAGCCATCGTAAATGCGCGACTCGCGCGGAATACTGTTCGGTAGACACGACATTTCGCGAGGACGAGATTCACCGCTCGTCTTCTCGCATACTGTCATTTGGGACTCGAGAATCGTGAATGCGGAATTATGCGAATGGAGAAAGAGAGACACGAAAGCCTTGCGACATGGCCGTGATCTCTCCGTCATACCTTCTCTCTTTCTCTTTTTTGTTTTTTTCTCTTTTCCTTTCTCTCTTTCTCTCTCTCTCTCTCTTGCGGTTTACACTCGATTGCGCTCTTCAGGCTCTCGTAATACGATGGCAGCCGGGTGAGCTTGCTCGTCCTACCAGAACACTCTGTAAGAATACTGTAAGAATACATTGTCAGTGAAATCGAGTGCGTTGTCCCTGAAATTGTTTACATTAACACGTCTTCGCCACCCTCGCGTGAGAGGTGAGAGACACAGCTCCATTGGAGCAACATGCTTAAATCTCTTCCTTACTTGCTAGATTTTTTCTACACAAGCCTATCGTATAATATATATACATACATATATGTATATATGTATATGTGTGTATAATATGACATCTCTTTTTCGCTATCGATGCTTATAATTGTAGGTACACGATTCACGTTCCGCGTGTGCGCGCACGCGTATGTATGTGTATATATAAAATTCGTTAAATACTCGAGACACAACTAATCGTCACCGGGCTGTTTGCTAGCTACTACTCGTTTTCTTCGCGCGGCGAAGACACCACTTTTGATTCTTGTTGAGAAATCAGGTAATAAAAGTCTTTCACGTGTAATGTAAAAAAAAGAAAAAAAAAAAAAAAAAAAAAAAAAAAAAAAAAAAAAAAAAAAAAAAAAAAAAAAAAAAAAAAAAAAAAAAAAAAAAAAAAAAAAAAAAAAAAAAAAAAAAAAAAAAAAAAAAAAAAAAAAAAAAAAAAAAAAAAAAAAAAAAAAAAAAAAAAAAAAAAAAAAAAAAAAAAAAAAAAAAAAAAAAAAAAAAAAAAAAAAAAAAAAAAAAAAAAAAAAAAAAAAAAAAAAAAAAAAAAAAAAAAAAAAAAAAAAAAAAAAAAAAAAAAAAAAAAAAAAAAAAAAAAAAAAAAAAAAAAAAAAAAAAAAAAAAAAAAAAAAAAAAAAAAAAAAAAAAAAAAAAAAAAAAAAAAAAAAAAAAAAAAAAAAAAAAAAAAAAAAAAAAAAAAAAAAAAAAAAAAAAAAAAAAAAAAAAAAAAAAAAAAAAAAAAAAAAAAAAAAAAAAAAAAAAAAAAAAAAAAAAAAAAAAAAAAAAAAAAAAAAAAAAAAAAAAAAAAAAAAAAAAAAAAAAAAAAAAAAAAAAAAAAAAAAAAAAAAAAAAAAAAAAAAAAAAAAAAAACAAATGAAAGAAAGAAGAATCGCGATTTTTACCGACTCGATTCCTACTCGTTTCTAAACAACAATGAGTATTGAGATTATATCTACCCGTTGCTTCGGCCCTTAACCTCGTATAAATACATTTATAACGGCTAAATCTTTATAAAAATAAAATTAAATAAACATATAAAATAATGTGTGTGTGTATGCGTGATATGATATATATATTATATAATTCGCAATAAAATATTTTAAAATTAAAGACTATGCTATCGAAAGTATATTGTGTATATATAGAATATATCTTGAATATAAATATATATATGTGTATATATTATATATATATATATATATATGATGTATATATAAGTGCTAATTTCATTGTTTAATCCTTCTTTGTTGTGCTCCTGCGGGTGGGGCGTGAACACGCGACTCGAAAACGAAAAAAAAGTGAGAGAATACTTTTGAACGCATAGTCTTTCCTGCTCGTCATGAACAACGCTACAAGTAAACGCTAGAACCATCAGTCCACAAAATATTGTTTGGTCCCTGGGTATGTTCTCCCTCCACCTACAACTGTTTGCCTAAAAAGTCCTACGTGTATATCATACGTATGTATCTATTTATATAGACTACCCTATCACCAGCCATTGTAACATTTGTTGTATGGCGTGTTGCGCGCGACAGATCCGATGATTTCTTTTCGAGTCAAGAATTTCATGAAACTGAGACTAAGACTGTTGTGAGTCCTCGCCGAACCGAACCCGCTATAATCCGATTCGCGCTATACGTACGATCAACGACGCTAATCTCGATTGGATTCCTCTTTTTAAGCGTGCGAGTTACGCGCTTCCTCGAATAAGTATAATTAACAAAGAAATTCAAGACGAAAAATAGCTACCGTATAGCTCTTCTCAAGAGTGCAATCGAGTTTTTTTTTGTTCTCCTCCTCATTTAGATAACTATCGCTACTAGCTGCCTAAGCGATTCGCGCAATTACGTCGCTGTAGAGCCACTACTGCACAAGAGTTACGTAACGGAGGTACGATTTCTCGTTCGGACCGACGGGATGAGAGAATATGCGTGTGCGTGTGTGTGAGAAGTAAAAAAAAAAACACCACCAACGCGCGGTGGCGCATAAGTAGGTTTCGTAGGAGAGGTGGACGGATCAAGAGAGAGTTGATTAGTTGTTTAGTCGCGTGTTAGGATTATCAACCCGAGGGATTCAATTGGGATTCTAGTGGTACTTCGTAGGTTACGTTGTCGTTAAAATGTACACAATTTTTGGAGTCAAGTGTGCGCGATAACGTATGCGCGCACAAGATAAGACAAACGGAAAGGAAGAGTAAATTGAAAGGCAAAAAAGAGAAAACGCGAACTAAAAATGTGTGTTCGGCTAATGTACTATCATCATCGCCCTACCGACAGGCCGTTCATTACGAAAACTTCATTGAAAGACTCCCTTCCGGCATTTGTTCTTTTTTTCCAGCACGGAGAAACGTCTCTAAACGCTGTGATGTATCCGACGATGACACATCCTTTCCGCTGTCGAACTCTACAAAAGAAAGCCGCGAAAAAAAAAACCTAGCTCCATACAACGTTAATATTTTATCTCTTCTTTTTTCAATAAATATATTATGCATATATATGTATATTCTCTAAAAAAATATATATATGTATATATATATATATATATATATATACCTTCGCAATAAATATATTATATATATATATACATATATATGTGTATGTATATTAATTTCTAAAATATGTATATACGTACATGACGTAGATGACGTGTGCACGCGTATATATATACACCAACGAACACACAAGCTACACAAAATACACATGTAAAACAGCTACAACGCGAATGGCCTTTGATTATTGCATTGAGTGGTGCGCGATAATAAACGCGTCGCGCATCTCACGGGTCCCTTCGCGGGGAAACCCGTCATTGAAAGTGTACGCCAGGTCGACGCGGCGACATTCTTTCACCGGGTAACTTGAGTGCCTCTGTGACGGAGGAGGAAGAAAGAGGCAGACACGCGAAACTGTCGGAGAACGTAGTCTATCGTTATCTACCGCGTGTGCAACGTCTCAGGGGAATCCGTAAACTCGTGTGTACCACTTCGGACAGGTGAAGCTACTGCGGGACGATGTTGGGGATATGTGTGGCTGTGGTGGGACGGTGAGGTGCGCGCAGGAAGAAGGCTCTTGGTGTCCCAGATACATCCCGAGTACGCGACACGATTATGGACAACAAGACTTCGCGACATTGTCTAAGGTTCTCCGTACGACGACGACGACGTCACTGCAACGTCGTCCCCGAACGCGACGCGGACTGCACGCGATCGCCCTCCTTTTGCCGCGACTTCCTCTCGCTAGCCTATCTAAGTTTCGCGAGCTTACGATCACGCGAGATCTGCGCGATACGAGCAGACGTAAGAAAGAAAAAAAGACGCGAAGAGCGATTCGAGGAGCGCGGGTAGATATGCACGTTATCCTGCAAGGACGCGCGGCTGTCTGTGAATCCCGGGCTCTACGTAAGAAAAGCTTTCGGACTAGTATAGCTACGTCCACACGCGATACAGCACGAGTACGACGGGTGTGTCAAATGTCTGCTCCCTAAGCTCTCTTCTCTATTCCTTCCGTACTACTCCTTCCTCTTTCTGTTGTCGCTACTATCGTCCCCGACAAAGCCATGCCGACGAATACGGCCTTGCGCGCGCCTGTACTCCCGCCGCGACACTCTATCGCTACGATAACCCTGAATCTTCGTGATATATCATTATATCGGAGACACGGAGCATACGTTACGTTACACGCTAACGTTTTCGCGTAATTATTATCATTACATCTGAACTGACACGAGACTAGCAAATGACTGATTCGGTTGTGTTGGATATATATATATATATAATATTCTAAGCTAACTATCCACCTCCTAGATAATCGCTAACTGCTACAATGATGATGAATGTGATAAAGGTGATGGTGATGATGATGATAATGGCGATTGGAACGACGGCGATGATCAATGATGATGGAGACAATGTGTGACATAATGACGGTGATGGTGAACGCGGATAATAATAATAATAATAATAATAATAATAATTAATGGCTAAAAGAGCGGTCGGCTCGTAATAACAATTATCGACTTACAGTCTACGTGATTGTACCACGTGTTACGGTATTGGTGACGCTCTCCTGGAGTGAATTGCTGTCGGCGTCGCACGACGCCGAACGTCCGAGATCTCGATCTCTAACGCGCGTAATCAATTTCGACTACGATTCAAGAGTAAAATGTAAAAAAATTGGCACTTTTTTCGGCGAAGATTTGCGATTACACGAGCGACTCTTCGTGATTAAATACAAGTCCGATAATTTACTGCCAGCAGTACATTGTGATGCGCGTCCAAAGCGCGGTGGAATCACCACAATTTGCAAAATTGTCTTTAGACATAAAGAATACAAAATTATAACTTGATGCTCCAATCAGGGTACTCAGAAGAGAACTCACAGCCGACGAGTGTTACGAGTGCACTCGTCGACTCGAATAAGCGATCGACAACGTCTGATAAGATTCCCTCCTGGAGAGAGAATATTCCCTTCTGATCTCATTAGTCGGCGTTAATTGCTCGTCGCTCGTCTAATCTCGAGGGACTCGCGGTCACATAATTAAAAAAGAGGCGAAGACAGCTGTCACCGTCGCGCCGCAACTGTCGCGCTTCGCGGTGCAAGGCAGAGAGTCACCAACGACCGTCGTCAACGTACAGCGTATTATCGATAAAAATGAACTCGTAACGATTGACCAATAAACATAATAACGATAAAATAATTAATATCAGCAGCAATATCAAGAATAGAATATGCGGCGAGCGCGCGCGGCTCCGTCCCTTCCGTTCCGGCGGACGTGCATTATCGTCATCTCTATTACAATTCGGAGCGCACATCTGCAGCACGCACATTTGTTGCTTCGCGCGTATTCGCGGCGCGCGTTTGCGTCGCACGAGCTTGGTTTCTCTCGCGAGAGCAGAGGCGCATACGCTTTCCCTCCCTGTCTGTCGCGAGAGACGGTAATCTCAACGAGCAAACAACCCACCAGAATGATCCGCTGTGGCATACTCGGTGAGCAGCGGTGACGCAGCCAGTGCGTAGTTGGCGTAGTCCGCGTACGGCGTGTAGATGAGTCCATGGGGTTCGCCGGCAGACAGCAGCGAACCCGGCGGCCCGGAGCCGTTCAGCAGGGACGCGGCGGTCGTCGGCACGGATATCCGCGGCGACAGGATCAGCGGCGCGCCCAAGGGCGTGCTCGGCGTTCGCATCGGCGTCGCCAGGCCCGGCAGCAGACGTTGCGTCTCCGCCGCGGCGGCGGCCACCCGCCGCCACTCCTCGTCGCAGGCTACAATAGTAATCATACGTTAGACGGAGTCTTCGTTGGATGCTACACAAAGCATTGCTACATAAAGACGTTAGAGTCTTTGAAAGAAGAAAAAAACAGTTTAGGGCACTTGCAACGTTACGCGGACTGTACTTATCGCTATACTATCATTTCTTTTCGTTATTATCGTTTCTTTACTATCATTCTTATTTTTTTCTTCTTCCTTCTATTCAAGATTAACCGCATTATCTAATCGCCCATAGAGTTTTCTCACATGTTTTTTATCATCACCATATACTGATAAAAAATGTGTCTAAGAAATACTAAATAATTATTTGGTGGGATATTATATAATAAAATATTTACTTATATGTATAATAGTTCCCAAATAAAAAATATATAAATTTTCTTAAAATTTTAAGAGAACTTTAGCTTCTCATGAAAGCAATTATTAATTTTACTTTTAATAAAGAATTTAGATTGAAGCAAATCTGTTATATTAGTGCCCATCAAATAAATATTTGCTATTTTTTAGATATATTCTCTCTGAATTTCTCAGAGTGAAATTTCACTCAGCGATGGTGAAGATACTGCTGCGCGAAATTACAATAAAGTGAATGTTTGACTTAGAGAAGATTCTTGATCAATACGAGTGAATGTTTCAGTCGATTGAAGTGAATTTGTTCTTATGATGGGATATTAGATTGACTCTCTCTTCAATTTTGAAATGAAAATATTCCTTCGGCGATTCCGAGCCGAGGATTCAGCCTATATGAAAGTCACTCTATGTGAATTGGCTGTGTATGAAAAGTCATTCGACTTGAAATGACTCGACTGGAATTTCACTCAAAGAAATTTAGAGAGCACCCTCTTTGGTCAACACACGGTCTGTCTCGAGACTGGTCGCCGAGCTGAAGTCGAAACATCATAATCACATGACGAAATTGGCTATTTTTCCTTCCGATTAACGTTAGCCGTCATCCTATTCCCGGGATGCTTGCGACACACGGTGATCATGTCGACGAGATTATTTCACTGGGACACGTAAACGAAACAAATCGCGATTGGACACACGAGCGAAAAGCGCGCGAGTGGATTCGCGTGATTCAAGAACCACGCTGATTCCTGTTTCTCGAATTGGCGCATCCTTGGATCTCACGTGCATATTCGTGGCTGTACAACAACGACGTAGCTTCAAGCGTGCGCATAATGAGACAAGTTCTGCGAACGGTACCTGCCGCGGCGGCAACCTTTGTGTTCGAATCCCGGTAAGTGCCGTTGATGATCGCGAGTTCCATCAGCTGCCTCTTCTTTAGCTCATCCTCGCCGTCAGCCTGCTAACAATCGACATCACCGTCAGAACGCACCATCACCAGAGGTGCAAAGGCATAATTACTCTATAGGGGCCTCGCGAGAGAGACTAACGCGCCATTGTATAGGGCCTTCTTTTTTTTTTTTCATTTACATATGAAGGCGCCGATTACGTCATTAACGACGCGACGCACGCCGTTCACATTGGAAGCGTTGCGTCACTCGATCAAAACACACTGTACATTGTATCGGGCCGATCCGTGCAACGTATCGATCGAGTTCATCGCATTTCCATAGCAAGATCTGACGACTCAGTCGCGCGCCGTTCATCACGATATGTTTCATTCCTTCATGTCTTTTTTCACGTAAAAAAAAAAAAAAAAAACACTAAAAGTACGCCAATAGCCACAGATTCGTAGTCCTCAATCTCTCTCTCTCTCTCTCTAATCTGAACTTTTTAAATATCATTCATGTATAACTTGATGATTATTATACATATTTACTATATATATTTCCATGATTTTGTAACTAACGTTTCATTTGACTTGCCATATTTATGCTAAAACTCAGAATAACAATAAGTATTAGAGACTTTAGGCATTGGAAGAAATAAACAAACGTAAATTATGAGGAATAAAATTCAGGCGAGATTTTGAAGTTGTCTCTGACAGTTTGTAGTAAAAACAACAGACGAGAAGTTCCGTTTGACGGATATTTCCCGTCGACTCTCTCACGACTATTTACGGCTATTGTCGTCACGTCGCGGGGGTGCGCGAGGGAGAAGAAAAAGAGTTTGCAGTTGGAACTTCCTCACCACGGGAACGAGAAGCTTCTTGACCTCCTCGACGGCGCGAGCGAGCTTCAAGGTAGCACGATTCTCAGTATCGTCCACGGTGAGTAGCACGTGCAGCTCGTCTGTCAGGTGTTCCCAATTCGGCTTGCCCCGATTTTGCTCCTCCTAGTTAATCAACACACCGCAGCGATTATTATACGCGCGTAACTGTTTCTCGAGACACTCGCGTTCCCTTCACACACTCACACACATCCACACGCATAATACACATATACACGCCACATGACACAAAACTTAAAAATCGTGGAGCTCATATGAAATTATAATCCCGAACGTTTGACTCTCCGAGAATAAAATTAACAAAGTCATAAATAACTAAGATATCTCGCGCGAATAAAACTATATCTCCTCTATTAATCTTATCTTCCTCGTATTAAATATAAGTAACCATTATTCTTGAGCAGGAATAAAAATACAATCTTTTAATTAGCAAAGAGTCTATAGGAGAGCGCACGCGTTTGTCGCGGATTTTCGTTAAGTAAATCATAGAATAAATATTCGACGAACGTTTGCTTAACGTTCGCGTCGATAGGCGAAGAGAATAAAGGTGTGTACAGCGTTCACATCGAATTAAAATGGGGGGAGGCTTCGATTCTACGGTATACTTACGAGAAAAGCATTTCGCTCGCGCGTCACATGTGCAGCTTGAAAAAATACAGGGCTTCCTTTAATATTCTCTACGCAATCCTTCATAATTAATCGTAAACTCCACACATTCGTCACCAGTCTGACAACTTACCCGGAGACTTACTCGCTCTTTCTCTCTCTTGTCGCTAGTATTGTATTATTAATTTATGAAGTATTAAATTCTTTTATTCCACGATCAACCACACTGGATTATAAACAGCACGCTTCGAATCGCGCGGGGAGTTAAAGAAATCAAGAAGAGAACGGCGAAACCGATCGATTAGTGGGATCGAGCGCTGTCATCGTTACAACAGCCGCTGCGATTTTATTAATTAACTCCGGCTCGGCTCGTCGCGCGCGGTCATTAGCGAACGAGCTGTATTTTCTTCTCAGTTAATAACGTAATTAAGTTTTCAATAAATTTCTCGCGCACAGACTCGCGGGGAAGTATCGCTTCTCGATGAGGCGTGGTGTGTTTTGCCGAACGGTAAAAATCGAGCGAATAATACATGTTGATATTTTAGACGCGAGATGTGTGTAAATATATGTATATGTATGTAAACGAGCGCTACGAGCTAAAGCGCCGAAACTAGATGCTTACCTTCTTTTTGTCCCTCATCGACCCCTTCCCGCGGACCATGATTTTACATCCTGTCTCCTGCTCCAATTGTTTTGCGGTCATGCCTCGTGGCCCTAAAATCCTCCCGACGAAGTTGAACTGCAATCACGCGACAGGACGATCCATTATTCTGCGTGTCTATCACTATCATTTCGCGCACTTTCGCGCTTGCTTCGCTAATTAACCCGCAAATAAGAATCTCCCTGTATCTCACCGAGGACTGACTCTGCCCGGAGGTCGTTTTCGCGCGGATTTATGCCGTCGTTGGGACTCCCCCGCGTTTAGGGACACTTCCAGCCTACGCGCGCTCGCGCGTGTAGACAATTGCGATGTAATACGTGCGGAAATAAATATGTCACCCTGTTTGTGAAGCGCAAAAACATCGCCCGCGCAATATTCCCGTCCGCTATATTCGGCAGCGGTGCGGGAGAAGTGGAGAGAAAGGAAGAGAAAAAAGAAAAAAATAGAAAAAAAAGACCAACTCGTTTCCCGCGAGAGATATCCAGTTTCATTGTTGGATCCCGGTAAATAAAGGTGGATAAATTTAGACGATGAATCACCCGTTCGCGACTCTTCAGCTCGCGCTGCTGGTCCATTTCTTTTCTTTTTCTCGACGATCTCGCGGTTCCGAGTTGTAAACCGCGAACGACGTTACTCGATGTTTATACAGATAGATCGAATTTATATCGCGGAGCACATAACGTCGGGGGAGAGGAAGGATGGAGGTCCCATAAACGAAGTAGAAGACGGAGGAGAGAGACTACTGAGTTAAGGGAAAACGAAGTCTCGGATTAAAAGCGGATTTGATCTCGCGCACACATTTTTCTCACACGTCCAAACGAGGAGCATAGTCAGAGGGCCCGAGTCAAAATTTTCATTCTATTTTCAGCCTCACTGTTCCATTCAACACCTATTTTGACGCTGAAGAAAGTGAAATTTCGGACATTATCAGAGTCAAAGTAGGAGTAAGTTGTATCATTAGAATTAAACCTACTTTGCTAACTTAAACGGGGTCTACAATGAGAACTTAAGCTTTAAGCCTGAAGCCGTGAGAAATTGACCAATCACCATCAAATATAAGGAAAATAATCGACTGTGATTGGTCAATTTTTTACGGCTTCAGGCTTAAAACTTAAGTTTGATAACTTAGAGCCTCCGCACAAGAATATCCGTAACATATTAAGTTTATGGATTTCTTTGTGCGTTGACTTAAGTTTAAGTTTACGTACAGGTATGGCCATTGTATTGTCAGTACTTAACGTAACTAAAGATGTTACGGATATGCTTGTGCGTTGGCGTTAAGTTCTCATTGTAGACCCTACTAATATCCAAAGTTTAACACAAGGCCAAAATTTCGACCCGGGAAAACACGATGTTTCCGCTCGTTGCACTCGACAAGACGAGACGACGCCGGCTACCAGAAAGTAGCATCTCGGAAGTACTCAACGAAGATGCGAGATACGCGACAAAGCTGTTGTCGATAACACGCCGATAACGTTATCGAACAGTGTCGATTCCGCAACGATCAATCCGTGCAACTGTCCGGAAATTATCGCGCCTTGATGGGCGCAGGAAAGTGACGCGAGGCCAATCGCGCGACACAATGAGCGAATAATCGATCCCACTCGAGAACGCAAGTCCATAATGAGCTGATAATGAGCGCGCGATCGCGAGCATTTGGACGTCCGCTTATCACGCGTGTGATTAGATCGACATGATTCTTCGTCGTCGCGTGGTCAACACTTCTCCCTCGCCAATCACACGACCGGATTCACGCGGAGAATCGACTTCTAAGTCGCACAGTGCGGCCAAATTTCATGTTTCAAAAAAGACTGCACGGAAAAAAAAGATTTGGTTGAATTAACCAAATATCTGGTCGAATATGAACGAAGTAACCCGAATTCTGTTTAAGTCAACCAAAAATCTTGTTAACTTAAACAGAATTCGGAGTTTACTTCAATCGGAATTTCTGGATCGTTCATATTCGACCAGATATTTGATTAATTCAACAAAACCTTTTTTTCCGTGTACAGTCTCGAAATTTCGATCGATTTCAGAGCTCTTTGCCTTTTTAAGTGAAACCAATGGGACCTGGAGAATAACTTTGTCGAGCTGTGCGCTGTGCAAATCTACACGGAGAAAAATAATTTTGCGACAATTTTAGCAAAATTGTCGTTGCTACTGCATATTCGTAGTGACATCAAAAAAAATTAGTTGACATAACTAATTTTACAAATTATTCGAAATCAGAGCAGAAGTAGTTTCGTTGCCAGGAGAGAAAAAATTTGTTGAGTATATTTGTCCTAAGGATCACGTTAATTTATTATTGATGCAAAATAATGTAAGTAAATTTATTTGCAAAACTGCAACTGCTTATGTAAATCCATCATGATTCTTATAGCAAAATAATTTGTAGACTCAGCAAATTATATCCAGCAAATAGTAATTAGTACTCTTGCCAAATCTTTTTGTTCTCCATATAATAACGAAAAGATTTTACTAGACCAGCAGAAAATTTGCTGGGCCAGCAAATTATTTTTCCCCGTGTAACGGCTGGGCGTGGCGCACAGCACTCCTCCTTGTGTCGTGATCGAAAAAGATGAACGATCTATTAAACTTTATTTTGAGCCTAAAAATGGTCTCAAGACTTTTTGGCCATGAATCTGAGTCACTCTTGGCCGCACCCTTCAAATAAAATAAATTTGACAAAATTTCAACGAGTCAAAATTTTCATAAAATTCAAAGAGCTTGGAAGTGAAATTTCCGTCGGAAATTACATAGTCCCTGATGTCAATTAATGAATCTATTAGTTCGCGAGTCAAATTTATGTCCTTTCATCAGAGAATTTGCTGTTTCTAGCAAAACATAGTGAAATTGAAAGTTTGACGCGTGGACGACGGCGCGCCCGAAATGAATTGAGAACTCGGGCGATATATAAGTTTCGAGAAATCGAGACGCCCACGCGTATTCACGAGGAAGGGTTAATAAGCTTACGACCTCGTTATTACGTCTCAATGAGCTGCCGCGCGGCGGAGGCGCGCCTGAGGCGGACGAAGAAATGGAGGAGGAGAGCAGGAAAGAGGAGAGTCCCGTTCTTTCGGCTGCAAACTCTATTTCGGGCGTTACGGAAATAACATTCGGCTGTGCGCGCGTGCGTTCGATGGTGCACAGAGCCAGCACGTCGCTCGATTTCTGCCCCGAGATCGGCGAACGATACTCATGTATCTTCGATGTGGCGCGCTTTGCAAAGAAAAAGGAGGAAAAAGACACTCTTCGCGACAGAAACAGAGAGAGAACTTTATTCCTATTTTATTTCGTGGAAAAAATAAAATAGACAGGAAATTTTATTTTGTTTCCATTTTATTCCGTAGAAGAAATATAATAGAAATGAAATATATTTTATTTCTATCTCTTCTACGAAATAAAATAGATATAAGATTGCCTTTCTATTTGTACTTACTGCGCAATTACAAGGATATTTATTTCCGCGTAAACGAATGATGATTACTGAAACGACTGTTATTCATGAAAATCCAAATCGACGAGACATTTGGCAACGAAGAGCAGCGAATTCGTAATGCACGCGGATGCGCGCGTTGCTTAACTAATTTATGTTTCATAAAATCGGGGATCGCGCGTATTCTACGAGACTGTGTCGCTTCGAGTTTCCTACGGATCCGTCAGCTCGTCGCGCGCGGTGTTTTCATCCTGAGTCCTTGAATCACGCACGTCGAAATAATCCGGGAGGCGCGCCAAGTTTCCGCGGCCGTTCGTGCAACGGCAAAATGTGCATGAGAATATAAGTCTTTCTTTATCTAATTCTCTCCCTCTCTTTCTCTCTCTTTCTGTTCCTTTTTCTCATCTACCAGGTCTGTAAATATGAAACCGGAATTTGCCCATAGATGGTCCTAGCTGTCAATGTAGTTACCGTCAAACCGCGTCATTGGCGTCATTTCCTTGTTGACATCTCTGACAAAGATTTTCAACTCACAACAATACAAGTTTCACACAACAGCATAGTTTGTAATAGCGTTGAACATGTCGAATTTTGTGCCTGGAAACTACGATTTGCGGACAGCATTGATTTTCTGTTACCATTTGAAAAAAACTGCTGCAGAATCGCATCGAATGCTTGTCGAAGCTTACGGTGAGCATGCTCTTGGTAAATCACAGTGCTTTGAGTGGTTTAAAAAATTCAAAAGTGGCGATTTTGACGTGAAAAACAAAGAACGTGAGAGACCACCGAAAAAGTTTGAAGACAGCGAATTGCAAGCATTATTTGATGAGGATGACACTCAAACGCAACAACAACTCGCGGATCAATTAAATGTGACACGAGAAGCTGCTGTCTCCATACGTTTGAAAGCCATGGGAAAGATCCAGAAGATGGGAAAATGGGTTCCACATGAATTTAATGAAAGACAACAGGAAAACCGAAAAACCATTTGCGAAATGCTGCTCGCCAGGTATAAAAGAAAGTCATTTCTCCATCGAATTGTGACTGGCGATGAAAAGTGGATATATTTTGAGAATGCTAAGCGTAAAAGATCATGGGTAACTCCAGGCGAACCATCGACATCGACTGCAAGGCCAAATCGCTATGGACGGAAGACAATGCTCTGTGTTTAGTGGGATCAGAAGGGTGTGATCTATTATGAGCTGCTAAAACCTGGCCAAAACGTTAATACTGAACGCTACCGACAACAAATGATCGATTTGAATCAAGCTTTGCGTGAAAAACGACCAGAATATAAAAAAAGGCAACACAAAGTGATTTTGCTTCATGATAATGCACCATCACACACAGCAAAACTTGTCAAGGAAACGATTGAGGCGTTCAGTTGGGAAATACTTTCGCATGCAGCTTACTCACCAGACTTGGCTCCGTCCGATTACTATTTATTTGCATCGATGGGACACGCACTTGCTAAGCAGCGCTTCACTTCTTACGAAAATGTACAAAAATGGCTCGATGACTGGTTTGCCTCAAAAGAGCAACAGTTTTTTTGGCGTGGCATCCACAAATTGTCAGACAGGTGGGAAAAATGTATAGCTAGCGATGGGCAATACTTCGAATAAAATATTTTTTATCATTTTCATACAATAAACGTGTATTTTCTATACAAAAATTCCGGTTTCATACTTACATACCTGGTATATATCTTTCCTCGTGGTATACTTACATCTGGGTGCTCCTTAACGGGTACATAAACTTTCTCCGTGAGCGTCTTGATGTCGCCTTCGGGATCCGGCAATACGAGCGGCTCTTTCTTCACCCCGCTGATTTGAAAGAGGCTCGCCCGCACCTTCGCGATCTCTGCAAACAGATTGGAAACGGATTAGGCCGGAACGCTCGATCGATGTGCGTGAGCGAGTATGAATCATAAGCGCGTGATTAATCGACACGATCATGTAACGAACGATCCGATTACGCGCGCGCGTATTCATTTGAGCATACGCGACATTCCCCGGCGTGGAATTCGCCGAGAGATTCAAGTGCCGATTATTAAACAACGTGCCTCTCCCGAGAGCCTTCGGCGCCGCGGTATCCGGCCAAGACCAGAAAATCCACCGATCGAGAAGCGAGCGTGAATCAGCGGATGACTATTTAGAGTAAACGAGCGATCGACTTAGTTATGCGCGAAGGCCAAGCATGATTCGCCAGGAATCAGCGAACGATCGACTGGATGTGTTCCCTCCATCACCCCGCAAGAGAGGATGCTGTCACACTAATTAGGTTGACACTAAAGGTGTGTCGTGATTGTCAAATAAAACAAATCCTAACATCAATAATTTTTATGAATAAAACAAACAACGTCAACTCCGCATTTTCAGACATCTAACGAGGATCTCCCATCTTCCTTTTGATACCCAAAAAACGTCTTATATAAAGAACCTCAGTTTCTTCATACCTTTTAAATCACTTGTCAAATTTTCATCTTTATTTATTTCGAAACTGCATGTGATTGGGTTATTTTGCATAACTACGGCCAATTGTTGAAATTTCGCACGAAGATTTTCTTCAGCCGGACTTATCCTGTTTCTCTGAAGGGGAGATTAACCAACGAACTAAAGAATCTTTCACAAGAGGTTCAAGAATTACTCCGCTGTGCGCTCACTACTATGATGTCCGACAATCAACAGGTCAAGGATCGACCGATTATACAAGGTGGTTCTTTTTCTCTGCACTCTCTGCAGAATGTACCGGATTGTTACGTTAACAGTTATAATTACGCACGCCTAGATAGCAATGACGAGATTACCATTGCTGTGGACTGTTACACGTTACAGTAATCCGACTGTTATATTAACAAGGAAAACGAGACGAAGCACGCGCGAAATGGGACCGCGTGCATCCTTCATTCGATAATACGTCGTCGTGTGCGACTGCTGGTCTTTATGACGAGCGGTCTGACTGACTGCATGGCGATCACGTAAGCGAGACGCACTGCGTATCCCTTGCATACCTATGCACGCACGCACGCACGCACGCACGTATAGGACTTATACGTGCGTTAAACGCAACGCTAATAACGGCGCTGTGCAAATCTAACGGCTGGGCGTGGCGCACAGCACTCCTTGCGTGATCGAAAAAGATCGAACGATCTGTTAAACTTTATTTTGAGCCTAAAACGGTTTCAAGACTTTTTGGCCATAAATCTCTGGGCCTTCAAATTAAATATATTTAACAAAATTTTCATAAAATTCAAAGAGTCAAAATTTTCGTAAAAATAATTTCAGAGCTTGAAAGTGAAATTTCCGTTGAAAATTACATAGTCCCTGATGTCAACTAATTAATCTATCAGTTCGCAAGTGCAAGGGGAAAATTATGATATATTCACACGGAAAAAAAAGATTTGGTTGAATTAACCAAATCTTTTTTTTCCGTGTATATATTCTATGGTTGAGTGAGAAAATTTATGCGATTTCAAGTGAAATGGCGATGACATTAAAAGTTGTTGCATGCCGATCTATACAGTTCTCACAGCCATAGTTCTTATGATACTTAATGTTCAGTTAGTCATCCTCATATATGCAGTTGGCTCAGCCAAAGGAATACTGCTGTCTCTCTGTTATCATCCGCAGAAATACTGTGATTGAGAGATCCGTAGAATTTAGTTGCATCATACAACATTGAGGGTATTGCTCAAACACGTACGGATAAACACTAAAAAAGGTTAATGTACCAGAGTACTATGGCTGTTGTTGGTCATGCTACAAATCAGTTTGTATACATCAGCGAAAAGTAACATGAATATTTTGTTATGGCAACCATATTTAGGCAAAGTGATATCCTCAGTGTCTCCTCCGTGCGTACATCTCGAGACATTGAATTCCGATTAAATTCCCGTCGTGAGACGCAAAAGCCGGCTTTTCGAATGAATTCAAAACAAACGCACAGGTTGTTCTGATCCCCGCAGCACCCGAGGGACAACCCATCCATGGCGTTTCTAAAGGTGAACCTGTTTATCCCATTCGTACCGAGGGTATCGCAACAAAGGAGCGCCACGCGGCGGCACGTTCGGCTTCCATCGAGCGTACTCCGGTGTCTCATGTTCTTTACAACGTGTATATCCGCCGCACGTAAAGGTCAACGTTCCGTGTCTGCCCCACTTTCTCGCATGCCTGACCTCTTCGGCTCCTCGTCGTCTTCCCGTGCCGATGATCCGCGACATCGGCTCCGCCGCTGTCACGATGTGACCATCGTAACGAGCCGCGTTGCTTTTCAAAGTCACGCGACACGCGATACTGCAATTTTCAGCGTGGAGACACAATCCGGCACGTGACGCGAAAATTTTGGCAGAACAAAAGCATTCTCTGCAACAACGCGATAGACGGTATCTTCTCTATGTATAATAACATATAATATATTCGTAAGAAAATAGCTCTGCTCTTCACTAAAAGAGAGATGAAAATATTTTCGCGGGTACTTTCCTCTCTCAGAGATAGATAGGATAAAAATATATCTTGCGAATATTTTCTCCTGCGCAGAGATCTATATGAGATAAAAATATTTGTGAGAACTTTTTTATCGCAAGTAGGATAAAAAAATATCTACGAGAACTTTTCCGTCAGAAATAGATGGGACTATTTTCATCTATCTTCAAGAAAGAGATACTCATTCTCCGTCTGGGAAAACGAAAGAAGTCGAGGCAATTCCTACCAGAAATGAGACTCGCCCTCAAAACAGCTGCGAAAGATGAATCGATCTACGTCTCTGCGCGATCAAGTTGGAGTTTATATCAATTTATAACTGTGCATTAAAGTGCGCTTCTTCTCTCCACCGAGCAAGCTATCGCTGCAATCTCAGGGAGAAACTGATTATTAACCTCTGAATGGCTGCGTTTGCGATCAACGAGTGAAGACACGCGAAACAATATCATGGATTCTTAAAGCTTGTCATTGCCTGCGATTCAGCATCCTCCATAGATTCCACGCTCACGAGAAGCTTTCATCTGACCCGTCGCGTGCTGCCAAGATCAATTAGATCTACTGATTGGTCGAATCGAAAATCGCTCTTGCGCTCAAGCATCGCTAATGGGGATCGCGAGATTTTTCCACGAGCGAGCTACCCAGATAGCTCTTCCGCACGTGCCTCATCATCTCGCTGCAATTTTCTCGAGAGATCGGGACAGAAACCGCGCGAGAGTGGGAGAATGCGTCAGGCGATTCGCAATAAGCCTGCAAGCGCGTAGAAGACACGTACTTCTTCTTCATCATCCTCCATCTCTTCTGCGGGTAGAAGCGAGATCTCCGCGAGAGGGAGGGACGTGGGGAAGACGCGCAAGACGCAGAGAGCGGATAAACGCGTAGATAGAAAAACAGTGGAGGTGGAGGTGGAGGCGGTGGGGGAGAAATAAAGGAGGGCATCACAGCCGCTTTTAGCACGGCGTAGCTCACCAGCCCATCTGCGTGACATCAGCTGACTGTCGTTCTTGGCCGTCCCTGTCTTTTCCTCTCTTTCTCCTCTGACTCTCTCTCTCTCTCTCTCTCTCTCTCTCTCTCTCTCTCTCTCTCCAACCATCCCCCATTCCCCACCTTTCTCCCTGCCGACGCCACGCATCAGCCGAAATGCGTGCTACGTGTCGTCGCCATGTAGTCACGCGAGTGTCTGATAGAAATACGGGACAGAGAGCGAGAGAAACCGCCTCTTCGCGCACCTTCGCGTTCAATGTCAACGCGACACGGCTGTAGAGAATCGGAACGGAGAACGGTCGTCCGTTCGCATTCGTGTTGAAATCGCAGGCCACGGCTGCGAGAGGCCGATGGCACCGCGTGGAGGAGCGTCGAAGCTTGAATTGCGAGGCGAGTCGCGCGAATCGCGGAAGTCGGACGTCTCGGCGAGTTTCGCTAGAGAATCCGCCAAATCATTCCCCCAGATTCCACAGTGACCCGATCGGGGTAACCAGATCAGGGTGATCAAGATACCTTTATCATCGGCTTTTACGATGAGTTTGCTTATCATCATGCTTAATTTAATAAACAAGAATATGCTTCGAGCCCCTCCAATGTCCAAGAACATTTCTACAGTCCAATAGATTCTAAGTTAAACTCGATCAGCACTAAGAACTCGATGCCGAGAACGCAGATATCGATACACAGATCGCGATGCACACGTGGGTGGGTGTGTCGGCGACACGGGATTCATTCGCTCGCATCGCATCGGCGCTGCGGTGAGATCATCGATGTCGTAATCGCGAGACCACGATTCGTGACACATATCGTGGCGGAAGCTGATGTATCTTCTACCGCGAAAGACGCACGACGCTATTGAAGGAGCTTCTCCTCCTTCCACCTTCCTTCTCTTTCTCCTCTTCGCGACACGAAATCGTAGTACGCTCACCTCCGTTTAACGCGAAATTTAGCGCGACGGAAGAGATTTGTAGAGAGAGAGAGAGAGAGAGAGAGAGAGAGAGAGAGAGAGAGAGAGAGAGAGAAAGAGATAAAGATCGCGAATCATCACTAATCGAGGGGAGAAGAATTTCTCCAAGGGAGAAACTTTCTTCGTCCAGCCAAGTCGAAACGAAACTGACAATTTTCCCGACGCGGCGACTCTTGGATGGATCGTGAAAAATTCTTCACGCACGGCTGAACACAAACGACGACGAATTAAACGTGTCATTCGCGGTGGCGATAATTGCGCGCATTATCGAGATAACATAACCGCACATGGTTCTCTCGCGTCGACAGCAGCAACAACAACAAGCGACAAAAAGCTGTCGTCACAACAGACGGCTGATAAACTCAGCTGGATTCTCTCTCTTTTGTGCGCCACCACACGAGGCTGCGAACTCGATGAAAGAAATGTCGTTACAA